GCAGTTTGACTTTCTTATTTGGTTGAAAGTTTGAAGAAAAAATGTGACCATATTTTTGTCTAATTCTAACTTCAGAATCTACTATTTGCTCTAGGAGACCCACAAATTGCAAAACAGGGAGTTCCTCATTTTCATCAACATGTGCATATTTGTGAATTTCAACATGCTGTTCAGAACCTGTGCATGCTGACAACTATGATTCCCGGTGCACTCCTGGCCTGGTGAAGCCCTCACAGACCCTGTCCCTCACCTGTGCCATCTCTGCATTCTCCATTACAACCTGTGCTTTCTGCTGGAGCTGGATCCATTAGCCCCCCAGGGAAGGGATAAGAGTGAATCAGGTACACAGGTCATGATGGACTTCACATTCCAACCCACTCCTCAAGAGTCCAGTCACCATCTCCAGATCCACATCCATAAAACAGATTTTCCTTCAGCTGAGCTACCTGAGCAACGAGGACACAACCATGGATTTTTACACAAAAGACACAGCCAGGGGAAGACACTGTGAGCTCAGACAAACCTCCCTGCAGGGGAGCTCGGGAACAGCAGGAGGCGCTCAGGACACCAGGGGGCGCTCAGGACACACATCAAGGCAGGTGCAATGAGGGGGAAAAGGTGCTGGAGCTGGGGTTTGGCATCACCATCGTATTTCACCACTGGACACCCGCCACTGTGTTTATTCTCATGTACATGATTCTTTGTATTATTAGAAAATGGCACTTATGTAAATATATACCATATATAGGTGCATCAAGTCATCCTCTCCATCTTATGTGGACCTTTTCCAATAAGACTCTCAGTCCCTGTATTTGTTTGAGTTCGTCATAAATTACAGTCAGTTATGTAGGATCTCTTTCTCTTCTTTCTCCCTTTTTCCCTCCTTCTCTCTCACTCACAAACTCTCTCTCTCTCTTTCTGTCTTCTTCACATGCACACACACACACACACACACATACATACACACACATACACACACACACACATACACACACACATACATACATACACACACACACACACACACACAGAATTCTGTAACTTCAATTTCATGATGTATTGAAGACAATTGATTAAACTGCAGCTTTTCCAGTTTAGCTGCTCTTCATATTGCTGTAAGAAGAAGCACGTCGTGTTTGTCAGCTATGTACTTCTCTAAGAAGAGTAGCAGCTTTTTAAATAATACCCAGATACTGAAAGCAGTCCAAATACCAATCAGCAGCTTAATCAAATAGTGGTAAATTCATTCACTGGAAAAACACCCACTGTTACAATCAGGTACTGCTGGATATGCTCACTAGCGATGGTAAATTCACAAGTACGTATGATGAGTGAAATGAGTCAAACAAATATAAGTCCATACATATTATTCCGCTTTTATAAATTCTATAAAATGAAAACTAATGTAACATAAAGAAAACCAGTAGTTGACTCCGGACGTGGTGGGAGAAGGGAAGGTGGAGGAAGCAGGAGTTACAGGAAAACAAGAGGAAATTTTGAGGGTAACTGATTTTTCTATGTTGAGTAAGGTAATGGTTATGTCACTACTTTGAAATTGTACACGTTATTGGATGGCTATTATTTGCTCATTTTACCTCATTAAAATATTACAAATGTAAACACATATAATTTGGTAGAAAATGAGTTAGACAGAGATGAATAAAATATATGAGAAATGAAAAAAGAAAACCACCGAACAAGGGCATGAAGGACTTCACTCAATAAACTGAAGACATTTTAAGTTTTTCAACACTGAATTAAAGATTTAATTAAATACATATAAGAAATTCAAGAATCCAATATATACACTTGAAGGAACCCTATCACTACCTATATTTTTAGGGAAAAACTAGAATACAACAAAGTAATGTCATGATTTCATAACGTAACAGGGGTTAATGAACCACACCAGGCATGTACAGCTCTGTCCCGGAGTTCATTCAGGGAACAGGTGTGTCCTGTGGTTAGGAATCGTGCACCAAGCTCACAGCATCAGTTCTAGTGGAAACAAGGCAAAGGCCAAGAGATCTCAACTAAAATGTAGTTGGATATCACATCTGGGGTAGCGGCACATTCCCTGTGTCAGTATGGAAAGGTGA